TGTGCGAATTACAACGTTTAAGAGATTGTTAACGCTTTTCTTGAAATTAGAATAGCTTTTAATTAGCTGTTTCGATGTTGAAGAACTGAAGAGAGGTGAAAAGAAGCAAGAAGCGAAAAAAGTCTCGAGGTTTGCTGGACATAACAAAGAGGCACAAGTTCAATCCTCAAACTTGAAAAGAGATTGGACAAAGTAACTTGCGTCACGATAGCTGCACACAGGATAATAACGTCACTGGGGCCGGTATTTTCGGTCAAAATGGGTCAATCCAGATAACCGGTGCGAAAAAAATCACTTTTGGCCGTGACTTGCAAAGATGGCCAGTTCACTTCAGCGCTCGCCATCTTGGTTGAAGAGGTGTGGAATTGTGGGTGATGTGAATGCTATGCCAGATTTTTTCCTGACCTGCGTAATGGACTGTGGTGACTATAATAAGGCTTTTGAGGGCATCTTATTCCTTTTTCAAGCCAACGACATCGTCTACACTGCATATTCTCACAGAACTGTGATGGTGCTCATCCAAGTCACTCAATACGAAGCGGTAGCACTCCCAAAACTCGTATGTTCTGTATAGGTTATTCTGACGCCTTGTTCGCACTTCGGATATCTCAAAGATACCTTTGTCGTGGATAAACGCTGGTGAGGAACTACGAAAGAGTCGAAGCAAACAGTCCTTAAAGCACCGTAGAGAATTAGTCATCTCTCTTGGGATTTCTGTTCCAGTATGCCAAAAAAGCCATGCTGCCTCAAATGATGAGAAACCGTAGACTACGCTCTCTTAAAGGAGGAATTCACGATTAGAATGAAGGTCGAAGAAAGGGAAACTGACCTAGTTGAGGGACCCACGGACCTCCTGAGGGTGCGAACTGACGCGCAATTCGCATGGAAAAATTTGACCTCGGCGACCTATCATGCCTCAAAGCTGGCGGGTCCGGCGATCTCCGCCCACCGATCATCTGATCACTCGCCGTAGTTCAATACGTGGCGAGTGATTAGATAGCTGAGAGAGCGTAGTGTTGAAGAGGGCACAGCGATGAGAGTCGCATCAATGCTCAAATCAACGGGCAAGGAAGGGGTCCCATTTCTCGGGTTCTGGGCCGTTTCTCATGGTTCTTCCTTCTTTCGTGTACCACTCACCATCCCTAGGTTAATTTGAAATGGGTTGCTTTTTCATCGTGAATTCGTCCTTTAAGTCTGCAACTAACCATATCAAGTTGTCCCATTGCTTGGGATGATCGTTTAATTAAGGAACGGTGCAAAAACCAAAATAATGGAAGATGTAGAAGAGAAGCTGCCTCTGCCATAGTTACGATACAGGGGTTATTCATGGTGAGAGATCAGATGGTAATTTTAGGAAAAATTTCTGTTGGCTGATTGTTCCAGAAATGAATTCCAGAGTGACACTATGTTAACGAAACGCACAGTTTACGCCCAAAATATCGTTCACCTTAAAAAATTTGCGCAGTTATCTCTTAAGGGGGACAATAGCATTTACATTCGGAGAGAAAGTTGAAGCTACAACGAATTAAGCTTTGAGCACATGTTTATTTTCATGTGGCATGTTTGCCTTTAAGGAAATGATGTGAAATGATGTGACTATGCCAACAATAATGCACCTTGAGCATTGATGCTTTTTTCATCGTTCGTATAAAATCCATGTTTTCATGAATTAATTTATCTGAAATGTCTCACCTTGTTTTCATAGTAAAAAGCCCATATCTTTGACAGCTCTCGTCATTTTTCGATCATTGCGGAATGAATTCGGATTGCGAAATCTACCTTCAAGTTCGTCTCATTATAGAACTTATTCTACTATTCGAAAAAACGTGGAGCATCGGAAGTTGCTTAATCCCGTTCTGGAGTGCGCCACGCATTCGTCCTAGATTCGCAATCGTAGTGACAATTTCGAACACCATCTAGTCTATGCAATGAATTGCGGGGGCCAGCTGATGCATAAGTCAACGTGCAGTTGTATTTATCCTCCCCGGTCATTCTGGTACCATCTAACTGAGCCAGGAGGGATTGGATGGGACTTGGTTGGCACGACCCACGGTATGGTGATACCGTAGCACGATATTATGATTAGCAACGCACCAGCACTACACCTTTTCGCTCTATCCTCCTACTATGTGAGCATAAAATCGGCTAAGTACAGCGTTCAAGTACCCGGAGATTCGTTATCGCCTGAAAAGTCAACCCCGACACAGACCAGATCAAGCTCGAATGGTTGGACATAGCCTACGTCCGGAGCACCCACCCGTTAAGGCACACACTCGGAGTGGGCTTGTTTGAGCTGAGAACACCTTTCAGTGGCCGATGGACTCTTGGATCTCATTTCTCTTTCTTTCTCCTCTTCTTGTCCAATTTGTTGCACAAATCTCCTGAAAAAGGTATGAGCTTTGGAAGTCTCTTAGAAAGAAGCCTGCTTTTATCAACTTATTCCACTTTCACCGATTATACGAAAGGATGCCCAAGGTTTGAAATATTGTGACTAATCGAGGAGTCTAGGCGAACAATTAGGGAGTTAGGTGTGAAAGCCAAGCGTCCATTCCCTTTGCAGGTGCACGCATTTTGCATCACTCTCAGAAATGTCCTCTACACGTTTAGACTTCATTTTGGCATGGTCTAGAAAATTCATCTTGATGAACCAGGCTCGCTGAGAGAATAAAAGCTTTTCGAGGATGGATGATCCATTGATGGTCTCGTGTGGTGGCTAGTTCCTACGGTACACACAACCAAATGGACTGTAAAGAATTATTCTTCCTAAAAGAGTCCTTGAGGTGGTTGGTGTTTCAACTGTAGATGGATGGCATGTATTGCTGTTAATGGACGTCATTAACACACGCCTCACACCATCACATCACTCGCCGTGAGTAACTTTACCTTCTGAAACCGAATTTGGCATTTGTTCTTGGCGTTGGGGTCGTTCGACGCCAGTTGAGCTTCAAGCACTTTCTTCTGCCAAATGAATTATGAGTATGGAAAGAGCAAATCAGAGCCAAATGATCCTGCCTACGAAATTAAATATATTCGTTTTCAGAAGGTGGGTCACTCAGCATAAGACTTTTGGTGCTTATCAAGATATGAGGGGGAATCTAAAGACCAAGCCTAGGAGTGGGCAAGAACTTCGGGAAATATGAAAAAAATACGTCTCTCCTCTGACGCCAAAGCCTACTCCCGTTTTTAACAAATAAAATGCACTGCCCTCAATTATCTTGTATAGCGCCAAAATTTTTAGCCGAATCCGAGACTTTAACGCACGAAACTCGCACATACGGAGGACTTGAACCATATAATTCTAACTTCTTAACGGTTTGATGCCTATCGAGTCATTATATCCGGGTGCGGGACTTTTGGCTCGTCCGGGCTGGTACGCGGCGACTCGCGCGGCAGGATGCGCGGCGATCCACAAGACAAGGCTGCGCTGTAATAGGAGTCAACGCGTAAAGTGTAAACAGATTTTGTACAAATTTCTCATGATTCTGCGGTTTGGAAAAGGCTCCGATTTTGAAATATTTGAATAGAGCGGCGTCGTTGTGGAGATGTGAGCGCAAAGAGATGCGAGTGAGAACTTTCATAGAAATGTCACTGCTATTATCAAAGCGAATAAAGCGCTAAGTTAGCAAATCCCTCTGAGGAAGAGTTATTATGCGTCAACTTTTTGTGTTTTGTTGATCCCAACACTACGCTCTTAAAGGCACGCTCCACGATTAGGCGCGCTTGCCTCTTCCATCCCGGGGGTAGTAGGCAGGCGGACAAGTGTTGTTGTCGCACCCCTTTTGCCGCTTGAAAGTGCGCGACAAAGGCACAAGCAGCTCGTCCGACCTGCAACTCACACCTTTGTCCGCAAGCCCCACCCTCCGCTGTCCGTTGCCACGTGGCGCTGCTTGAAAAGCGCGGGCGCATTTGAGGCAGCGGTCCCACCGCGATCCTGTGTCAATGGCACTGGAGCAACTAGAGTCAGGCTCGCGAAACTCGTCCAACGCGCCTTTTCTCTATCCCAAGGTGGAATGTTGCTGAAATAGGGGAGGTTTCTGTACGGGGCGTAATCTGTGATTTCGTTTGCTTTCCTTCTCTTTTATAGACCACCTCCCACTCTAGTATCATGACTGAACGCTTTTAGACACCTATTTTATCCCGAATCTTGCCTTTTAAGTTGGAAACTTTCTGGAAACAGGGCCGACGGTAGGTGAATACAAAGGACTAAGCTCAGGAGAGAGGAGAAACATCAGGGAGAGCACAAATGCTCATATCTTCTCCCAGAATCCTTCTCCCTTCGTGAGGCTCAGTTCCAGTTGCAGTAATCGGCTCGAATGACCCCCACCAACAGCATGAGCGCCCTGATCGCTGTAACAACCCTATGCTTGTTCCTTCACTACTCTTCCTCCTGGACCTTCCTTAGCATCACCCCTGTCCTTGAATCTCCATGCTTGGCAATCAGTCGGAGCGCGAGAATGCGGATTTTACGCGCGATCTGTTTAACTCCTCTGCAAAAGCCCGCGAAGATCTGCATCGTCCGAATCACCGCGCAGCCCGACGCGCACTTTGCCGCGTGCCACCTCGGACGAGCCAGAAGTCCGTCGCCCACGATATCCAAGCTAGGAATACTTTAACAGTCTATGATCCTACGTGTTAGCGTGCTTCTATCCACAGTAGTTACAAACCGCTGTAAATTCGTTACAGATGTGCGCCGCAATGTGAAAGACGAATTTGTAATAAGCGGTCAAAGACTTATGAGGTGTGCATTCTGCCTCAAACGGCCACTTCCATCTCTCCCTGGTGAGCAGAGCCCCATGCACGGCGGGTGGGGCGTGCAATGCAAAAGTAGAATTTCCTAAAAGAACCTCATAAATCGGTTTCAAAACAAACGGACGGAGATCGCAAAGAAATCGACAGTGGCTTATGGAGGAAGTTTAGTTGAATGCTGGTAGTGGGTGGTGGTGAATTCGAGAATTTTGCATGCTCAGGCCACATTAATTTGCAATTGGACTGTGCTATACCGTGCAATACCGCGCAGAGCGTAACTGTTGAAATACGATAAAGCAAACAAACTTTGTAGTGTAGAGTTTGAAGGCGTCTGGCACTTCGATCGACGAGTTCCGCAGTGTCCCCCAAGACTTTCTCACCAGTTCCATATCCCACAGCTGAAAAAAAGTGTTGGGCTCGAAAATTGTATCATCAAAATCACACTACGTCAAAGAAATCATCCCTGTGCCGCTGCAAAATCGCAAGAACTCTTAAATGGATGTCAAGCACCTCCACAAATCTTGCAAAATCATTGCTGGATAAGTTTCTACGAGCTAGACGTTTCCAATGTGTACTAGCTCATAGTTCTCTTGCGATAGTAGTACGCTCCCACCGCTCCTTACGGTAAGGGCCTTGCACCTTTCGACAGCATCCTATCCGGATGCGAAAATCTGCAGGACTCACCAAACTAGAAACTGTGCGGTCATTACAGTGGCTCGCTTCTACCGTCAAGCATGTGTTCGTGAAAAGAAGACTTACCAGACTTGGATGATACTTCCAGAAGTAGCTCAAGAAGACTATCTCCAGTTCTTTTAAGTTACCGCATCTTCTATCTGAAAAATTATCGCTTCCATTCCTGAAGTGTGGATTGGTACAGTGAGGTGAGCAGAACTGTGTGATCGGCTTTACGTAACGATACCATTAGCCATACTTACATATCCTATTCTGTGCACCAGCATTCACTAGAAGGCAGGACAGCAATATAGGAGGACGAACAACATTTTTGATTGTGAACAGAATCCTCCATCACCCTTCCTTTTTTATTCGTGTATAGTGGGTGGTAGATACGTGACCGATTTCTGTGCGTTTCCATCAGATCCAATTGAAATCTTTTTCATATTATTTCACTCGTTGACATTTCCTTTGTCGACATGCGCTGAAGCCAGTAACCTGCACTTTTAGAACTGTTGTTTGGTGCTCATGGCATAGTTCAATGTTCTAGCTCAAACGCCGACTTTGTCGATCCGGCGCGGCGAAATACAGTGATTGTGTAACTCTGTTGCTGATAGCTGTAGGAGTGGAAGATTCATTCGGCAAAAAAAAAAACTTGAAATGAATCATTCAGTTTACATGCTTAATAGGGGAGATGCTCACTAGAAAATAAAGAGATACTTAATCTTATCATAACTATTCGTCCACAAATTCCCTTTCAGGAATCACACAGCAATGTACTAGGTTGAGTCACCGCTAGTGCAACGCTGGTAGCCCACGATTCACTAACGATCCGATGGATATGAGCATTGCACCAGCGGTTCACTACGTCTGACGTCGGCCCCTGAAGCTTCATCGGAGGCTCGCACATCCGTGTCAACCTTTCACAGGGCAGCGGTTGGATGCGGTGTTTGGGTTACTCTGCCTTCTATCATTTAAATGGCATTTTGACTGCAGTTTGACCTGACGACTGGCACGGTTCATTAAGCAAATTTTTCTTAACTCCAGCGTTCCATGCCATCTTATAATGGAGGTATCGTCATGATAGAGAAGCCGAGCTAGGGTTGGCATGCCAAGCTTAAGTTTCCTGATTTCCTTAATTTGCTTCGAAAGCGTTTTCGTGTCGTCATATATTTCTGCTTGACCAACAGATCGTGTATGATTGGGCTCTCTAATCAGATCCCTGTTGAATTACCACAGGCTGAATGCCTTGCATTGTGACAATCAGCGTGTGAAGAGCCGAACTTGACTTTGATGTCAACAGTAATTGAATTCTCTCGTTCTGAATCTGTCGATTCTCGGTCCTGTAAGAGCTTATATTAACGAATGGCGTGTCGGAACTTGGAAGGAATAATTGAGGGACAATGCATCCATCTTGTTCCAGTGACACGCATGCAGGTGGACGTGGTAGTAGATCAGAGCAGAAGTTGTGGCAGAGTTCCTCCAATACACTCCGGGTTGCAGAAAGTTCCACACCCAGACCACGGAGTCGCGCGATTCGTCATGGCGTTGTAGGTAGCGGAGCATAATAAGGTACTGCAAATGCTCCTCTTAGCCTCTGCTGCTTCAGCTAATACTGCTGCTCCTTGCTTCTCTAGATCTTCTTTTATCGCCTCTCTGCAAAGCATCGCCAGCTTTGGACGTTATTGGCGATTGCCTACAGTTCGTGCGCCTTTGACGGTAACTGTTTGACGGTAACTGTTTGACGTGTGTGTAATTTGCCTTCTGGAAGTCATCAGTCATCCCCGTCCTAGGCAACTAAGTGTTCCTACTTGGTGCATAAGGTTCTTATTGGCTGTGCACCATTTTTCTGACCGAAATTTCACTTTACGGTACAAGATGACCTTCAACGATGAGAATAGAGGTGCTTGTCAGACAATAGCATGTCCCGCAAACTTTTTGGCAATGCGCTCGGGACTTGGGCGTCATCTAGAACTGGGAAGCTTGTGGGAGCCAACAACTATAATACATTGCCTCTACGCTTTTGACACAAATCATACATAATACTGAATACGCGACGTACTTCTGATTTGGTTTGCGCGTGTTGAAAGTTTTGTTCGCAGCTAGACCTCACGAAATGATCTTTATGAGAATTAGACTTGTTCCTGATGCCCCATCTGCGCTCAACGATGCTCTACCTATCTGTGTAGGGTTCTGGAATCGATATGATAAAGTTTTGCCCTCGAGCTTCAGAACTGAGCGAAAAAAGTAGCGCTAAGGCCGGCGTTAAATCATAACCAATGGATTGAAGTTGTGCTCAGTGAGTGCTTGTATAGCAGTTGAGATGACATCACAATAACGCCGTCACGAAGCAGGAATACTACTAGACCAGGTGGCTACATATTTTTGTAACCAGTGGCTTATTGAGCTAGCTGCCGTACCAGTTCATATTGCGAACGACAGGCAGATATGCCGACCGTCCATACCGACATCCAAAGTTAGTGGTTTATGAAATATATTCTTTGAGTGCATATGTTTCCCATGGAGCTTGTTTCAATAACAAAGCAAGCGACATGCGGCCCTTATCCTTTGATCATGAGAGGTGCTTGACCGCTCATTGGTGGCCTCTTCTTTAGCCACTATCGTCATGCATGGGTAAGTGTTCATGAAAAATGATGTGAAATCGACGTCAATTCGAAGACGAACGGAACGGGAAGCTGGCCACGACTAATCGTTCGTCAAAGACTCGATGAAGGGAGAAGTTCAATGAAGGGGAGAGGATCACATGGGCCAAGATCAGAGCGGAGCAACGGTAGCCTGTTCGGAAGTGGATGAGAACCGCGACTCCGCCGGATTACTAAATAGTTAAGAAGAATTGGTCAAGAAAAGGTCTTCTCCTGTATTGGTTGGTTCTCCCTGAAGGAAATTATGACCATCTGAATGCGTGCTCAATTTTCAACGGTTTCTGAATTGATGAATTGCTCCATCGTCAATCGCTGCATTTCTTAATTCACGTGCACACAGAGAAGTTGCGAATGGCAGCCTGAGTCATGGGGAAGAGGTAGTCGTACTTCAAAATTTCCTTTGACGCTTCGCTCGATCCTGGCGCAAAAGACGTCCCTAACTCATGGGAAAATGCATAAATCAACCAAAGATTCACTAAAAAGGATTTTTAAATGACGTGGGTAGGCATTAAAAGTTTCAGAAAATCGAAAGACTCCAATTTTTCTCAATACCTTTGAATTCCGATATGATTCGATGCTTAGGA